AACCAAAGCTATGTGCAGAGGCAAGACCTGTCAGTTTTTGGGGCAATATTGCAGAATTTTTTTTATGAATGCTCTTTCGGCAGACATTAATAAAAACAATTCTGCACTATTGCTTGGCGCTTCTCATCTTGGGCTAGCAATGTGTAAATATTGAAAGATGCTGTTTGAAGAAATCATCAAGAAGCTTTCATCTCATGCAACAATTGTTCGTTCAATAAAACATTCAGTATTCACGAAATAGTGGCCTTAGAGTTGGAAATGTTAATTTGCTAGAAATGTGAATTTACTCTGATTTAAGCAATAGCCTTTAAATATTTCTTTTAAAATATAAATAAAAGTACAAAATATTCATATAACAGTGAGTTCTTGACGCAATAGGGGCCTGCTGCGCCGCTGAACTGAGTTATTAGACCTTCTACGGAATTCGCTTTCCCCACTATTCATGATAATTTAAAAAGAAAAAGCTAGCGTTTCACTGCAACCAATTATTGCAGTATTTTGAACAGCTTTTCAACCGAGCTTCGGAAATGCCGCTACAAAACAAGCCGTGAAAAGCATAAGCAACGGCTGAGGAAGTGTCGATATAAGTTCAACTGTGAAGAAGTTTCATTGTGGCGGAAACAACTAGTGATTGCAGAAAGACAGTGTCACTAAGCCGAGTGGAAAACTAAAAGAATAAAAGCAAAGTTTTGCTCATTTTGCTTTATTTAGGATCCCTGCACACCCTTTTTCTGCTTCGATCCATCCTGGCCCATCGTGGTTTTCACAGTTTGAGTGCTTTATTTTACTGCTGTTTTTCCAGTAGGAACTGTTCGTCCTTTCGGCAACCAGCTTTATCAGATTTTTAGCATGTGTGTAAAATTAGAAATTTTTTGTGACCGCTCATGTGTTTCTTTTGCTTGTTTTCAGTTAGTTATACATCCATTTCGGCAGTAAATTTCAGTTAGTTACGCGTCTTTTTTGTGCGTTTTTTATTAGAATACTTCTTGCCGTCTAGGCCCTCGCGTACTTAAATGATTTAGGACACGATAAAGAAATAGCGAGGTGGTGATTACAGTTAACTGATAAGCTGCGAAGCTGAAATTTCACAGGGATATTCTATATCAAGGGGTGGTGTAAATTCAGCTTATAAGTTAAATTCCTTGCACACAAATGGGACAAACGCTTAATTCCATCTGAACCTTAAAAATAAGTGCGTTTTGCTCGGATTTTGTTTACCTTCTTCCCCGACACCCTGTTCGTTGTCCAATTTTCATTTTGTTTTAACGACTGGTGACAACAAATCTTTTATTTTCCTTCGTGCACAAACTACAGTAATCAAAAACTCTGGCGGTTCGAATTTCATGCGCCTCCATGGTGCAACGTCGCCGTCCCAGCCGATACCCTTTTCGCCCCTTCATGCAAGAAAAGACAAAACATCGCCAACATTAGTACGCATGTCAAACTGCGATGCAAGTTTTTTGCTTCGCAATTTAACGTGCGTACTAATGCTGGCGATGTTTTGGTCTTTCCTTGCATTTTTGACTTGCTCTCTGAATTTAATTAGTACTACAAAAGATAACTAATATCAAATATGACGAAAGTGGATGACGTTCCATAATTTTAAAATTCTAAACATTTTTCACTTAATTTGCATGTATAACTGCCATAAATGATTGTAATACAGGATGTTTGTTTGACTGAGGCTGGTCTGTATGTATAAATGTACGTTTGTGTTAGGAAATAATTGCTCAATTTCGAAATGCTACTTTTAAAAAAAAGGGATTTTTAAGCTTAATTGCCAGACGCCGAGAATCAAGTTGCTTATTTAAAGTTTTTTAAAGCGATTTAAAATGTCATTTCTTTAATTGTTCCAATTAGCAGTGGTTTAGTTATCATAATCTGTTCACTAATTTTTAACATTCTCAGCAAAAAGTCTTCCGTAGACGGTGCAACACTTTCGCCTTTGTTAAATCATTATCTGAGTATATTAAGATTTTATGGAGACAGCTGAGGCCGGCAATATGCCCAAAACCCGAATTTTACAGCTTAAGTCAGGTAAAAATAATTTACGCCTTTCGTTAGTAATCGATGGAATAATTTTCTTTAGCCTTGGTAAGTAGCTAGATCAAAAGTCGAAGCCAGTGGGTCAGCTTTGTGGTAAGAAAAATAAATTTTTACTGATGTTTTCAAAAAGATTTGCTCAGGTTGTTTTTTTGTTACGACTGGTTGTTCTTTGTGTCGTTATTACGCATTTATTCTCAATATTAACGAGTATATTTGGAGCGTTGATTAGTTAAAAGTACGTGCCTAATGAAGTAATGTGGAAAGCCGACTGAATGAAATTTTTGAAGCTGACTTTTTTCAAAAGGAAATGTACAACTTTAGGGGATTGGCAAATTTTTTTTTTTTTTGCTATTAATTCTTTAGCGCTAAGTAAGAATTGGAGCATTAAATAAAAGTAGCCGAGTAGACATAACTGAAAAGGGCAGCAAATTTAGGTTCAAAAATTTTTCAACATCCTAAAAAAATATGAAGATTTAATATTTGTTTAAATACATGCCTTCAAAACTATTTCCAAAAACCTCATTCACTGCTACATTCTTCAAATTATAGTACAGCTGGCCACAATAACGATAGGATATGAGCTCGCTTTTGAAGAACCGAGTCAATTTAAAAGTTCATCGGCCCCAAGATGAGATCTGGGGAAGAGGTGGATGAATTTTAATGTTTCTAGGCTCGTACATAACTAAAGGCCTTTGAACCTGCATAAAAAACACTTTGGCAAGGTGTCGAGGGACATTTAGGAGCAAACTGATAGCGAGTTTGAATCCCAGACGCATTTCAATATTAAATTACCAAAGAAACGAATGGCCGAATGGTGCTGATCAGTCGCTCAGTATAATAATGCGCGCCCAGTAAATTGTCATTTGTTAGTTTTATTAAACATCAGGATATCTTGAACGAACACGTAGATAAGCTATTAATTTTAATAAATCAGTTTAAATTTCAGTTTAAATTTCTTCATTTTTCTTTTCATACGCGTCTATCCCTTCGAAAAAATTGGATGCACTATGGAGTTTCATTGGTTATTAGTAATCTCTGTTATCCGAATAACCAAGGTAAATAGCGATGGAAAACAGTGCGTTATTACGACTACACACTTTTGCGACAGGCGATTCTGGGAGCAAAACAAATTTAGGCTAACACAAACCAAGGTAGACATAACGTACTGTACTGATCTTTGAACTCATTCACTGCCTGAGAATGGTCAAAATTCGAAGAGAAAACAGGTTTACTTCCTACAAGAACTATAATGTCAGCTTCGGCCTGTGGCTATAACATTAACTTTTAAGTAGCCAAAGGAAACGGTGTAATATGTTAAAGCTGATTTCAAGTAATTTACCTCGCACCAGTAATTGAAATCTTATAAATTTGGTTTTTTTGCTTTCTCGCTTCGAAATCACAAAACTGAATTGGTTTGAGTCTGAATTTGTAGGTAATGTAGTGCTAACATCTGAAAGCCGATTTTGCAGGCGAATTATCCGTATTAGAATGTGAATAAAAGTTTTAGCATTGCGACTTTTAGCTCTGATCACTTTCTAGTTAGAGCAACAACCTTAATTTAGATCAAAATTGGTTAAAACACAGTGACCTTGCGAGTTGGGTTTGTCGCCTCGTAAAAAGTTGGCATATATGTATGCATACAGTCTGCACCACGCAGTTGCATGCAAGGAATAAAATCTGCTGTTTTCGGAGGAATACCGGCAATGATGGAATCAGTATTGGCCTTTCTGTTTTTGTTTGCCTTTTTAGCGCATTTCTGTAAAATTATCTACAGATCAAATGTACTGGAGGAGGTTTTGACTTTGACTTTAGCAACAAACTTAAATCATGCCTCGTTACTGCGTCCCTTGAATGCATCTGTGTCCATCACTGCGAGAAGATTCTTTTTGGGCTATAGCGAGACAATATTAATATTTTCCCATTCAGCCATTGTTTGATTGTAACTGAATTATTCAAACGTGAGAACTGCGAGATTCATGGACAGATACGCCGAAGTCGATAATGAGATAAAATGCAGCAAATGCATGGAAACTTGTACCGGTTTTGTTTTCAGGCTCAGCAGTAGAAACCACTGTATACGTGCTGTAAAAAACTACCAGATGTATCTGGGGTGCACTGGCCGGCGGATAAACAAACAAATCCTTGTCCACACAAAGCAAATGTTATCCACTTGTTTTTCCCCTCCACCCACTTGAATTTGTTGCTTTTTTGCGATTTGACACTGAAATAGATGTGCTGGAATTTGCTTGTTTGCTTGATTTAACGCTTTTCAACTGATTTGTATGCTTTCTCAATTGTTTTTACACCATTTTAGCATACCTTTGTGCCTTCTTTTAAATTTTGATTAATGAATGTGCGCACTCCTTAGCTTAATTTTTCCTTCTACCTCGTCTTAATTTTTCGTATTTTTCATCCCGAAATTAACGATGCAACGCCAGTTTCAAGATGAAATAGGGGAGCAGCTGTTTACTCGTCACTTATGTGTTACATTATAGGTGTTCCTGAAAAACCAGGAAATTGATGACCTCCCGCAATTCAACACTCACAAAGGGTAACAAATGACATCAGCTTACTGCATGCAGTTGTTGCCCGAGAAATGAGGCGGCAGTTGATGATACGAATGTAAACACAACGCGTCATAGTGAATGACGCGTTTGCAGCCTAATTCCCGTCAATACTGATTCTCACTACATGAATCGCAGAGGAATGAGACTTTCTAAACGAGATCCGAGTGTCAGTGCACAGTACCCGCTGCCTTTTATGACAACAACAAATATGTTCTCACAACTGGCCTTCGTGCACCATGGTACGCAAACTTACACGACGCTTTATTTAGGCCCTACGGGACGACCACGACTGTCTCATCGGGCGAAGTTGTAAGCAATTCACAGGGAATACTGTAACTAAACGAGTGAAAAAAGAACAGCGCCGAAAACAACAAACTGCTTTTCTCAATGCTAGAAGAAACGGTTGTGGAAAACAACCACGATCAGATCCTGTACTGTCAGCATTCTCACGAACTCACATTTTCTCCTTTACAAGCAGTATCCAGAATTTATGTTATTCCTGTCATTTGTGCATTTGGTACGCTGGGTAATACGGTCAATATATGTGTTTTTACACACAAACAGGTATGTCACTGCATTTTTGTGTAGAGATAGTGAACTAAATTGGAGGTGGTATCATATCTGCAACTTATCAAGGTGCACCAGTGGCTGGACCTTCAAATAACCGGAGCGGAGTCCGAAAAGTGACCGCTTTTTTTTGTCCTGAGATGGCAACTGGCGGAAGAACCCACTGACTAAAATTTAGCGTCGAAGCTTGCTAAGTTATCCAGTTGAAACACCGGACAGACAGACAGACACACACACATTGACACACACAAAAACATACATGCACACCACAGGTCGTTACAGCATGCGTTTTTGCATTTGCATACATGCAAAAACGCATGTTGAGAAAGACGAAAACGTGTTAGGAAAAGTGGGAAGGAAGAAAAATTTGGTCATTAGACTGCAATACCGACTGACCAGACTGGACTGAAATGAGACTGATCGGCAATCCCATTTCTATCAGTGGGTCCACTCCATACTAATCTGAACGCCTGTTTCTTTCTAACTTGTTCTAGCCGTGTAAAGGATTGTGTATTTCAGCGGTCGAAATTCGCTTTCCCTATCTTGCTAAAAATCCCTTTATCTGATCGGGCTGCTGTGCAAATTTCTGAGAAAACTCATTTTTGGCACTGTTACGGAAATGGGCTGTTTGTTCAGCAGTAACGAAACACCCCTCCTCAGCGACGAAGCACTTCTTACGCAATGCACTTTTTAGCTTATTATTTTAATTATTCACCAGCGGCACTTCTGCCTTCCAAACTTTACCTGTTAATTTACACAGTATAGTATTTACAGATGCGCAACCAGCTGGTGAATTGGTTTTTGCTAGCTTTAGCGATCAGTGATTTGGTTATGTTCTTGGCCACATTCTTCGTCTTTTCGGTGCCGGTGATTGCGGAACAGTCCGAGGATATATCGCTCATTAACATTTCTCCCCCACTACTTGTATTTTTTTATCCAATCGCTCATGTTGCCCATACTTGTGCCGTTTACATGACAATACTTGTATCCGTGCACCGCTATCTTGGTATATGCCATCCGTTTTTGGTGGGTTTTGTACAAAATTTAAAATGACTATTCAGTCATAAAAGAGTGCTTAAAGCACTAGTTTTTGTGCTCTCTTGCACAATCACTTGTGCAAAAAAGCATTCTGGAGAGGTCATGTGTTCAGCGTAATTTAACCCTAAAATTAGGAAAGTTTAGGAACTGAAATTTTAGAAACAAAGCTCCTAGAGAGGTGTATGGCCATAGCCTGAAATCTAAACCCGCGAGAACTGCTGAAGAATTTAGGAAACTTGCCCACCTAGCAATTTAGAAAAGTTAGAGTTAATAATCTGCAGCCAAAGTCAAGTGTTATGGAAACTTTGGAGATATAAACAGTGAATATCCGTGACCAGGAGATTGGAAGGGGACGGAGGGCTTAAAATCGTCCATGTTGCATATGCAGTTGGTTTAGCGCTGCTAGCGCACTGTGTAGAGAAACATATAATCGAATTTGCACTATTTGATCCGCGACATCGGTCATAAATTCAGACGGACTTTAAAAATTCAGTATGAAGTGAGCTAGAGGTTCAAAATTCTGTGATTTGATAGACGGAACGGGCTGTATCGTTTTAATTGTACTATCATGCTTTATTGTTTCTATTCCCCCTGACTGCACATCCAAAAACGGACATTATACCATCTTGAGGGAGCAGCAAGCTGTCAGTCCAAAATTTCGTGTTGTCCATCAGTTGTACGTCTTCAGTTGTGTGTTATTTCGACTGAAGAGCACTAACTTCACTAAAACTTGCAGTGTGTAGTGCTCTATGAGCTATAATCAGGTGGGATCAATTAGAACAAAGAGCAAACAAACTACAGGCTTTCAGAGAATTTTATAAAGTTAACATTTTGTGACCAGTAGACACTGAAACTTCCGTTTAGAAAAATTTCTTTGTTTTTGTGCATTTTTCGCATTAATGCAGTACAAAAAACTTGTTTTGTCAAGGGACTTTGTGCATGTGTATGTCTGTATAATGTCTGTCCGGGTTTTTCGCTCTGGGGGCCTAAGAAAGCTATAAAACTGAAACTTTGACAACGTAGCCTACGCGTGAAATTTTCTGGGCATGACTCGCGATCGTATTCATTGGGATGCTTGTGATAATCTGCAACAATGTGGGTGGGGATTCTCAGTTTGTTCAGTTGAAAAGTAACTATCAAAAAAGCAATAGCACTTAGTGGCAAAAATCTGCCGGAAAATGTGTGAAAAATGCATGTTCCTACTGGTAAGCTTAATACGTCGCTACCCAGGTTCTCACCAATTTTAAACAAATTTGCTTCCACTTCCGAAGGAATTACAGGTACGCCGCAGCGGGCATTCGCGATCAGTTCGCCTAGCTATAACAAGTGCTGTCTCTTTTTCTCTGCTCTTCAATCTACCACGCTGCTTTGAACTACAGAGTGTTCCATGTCAAAGCGAAACATTTCACTGGTGACAGTCTTTCATTTGCTAAACCAAATGTAGACACTTACTCTTTTTGTTTTTTATGGGATGAGTCCAATACTAAAATTTCCCGGCAGTTTATGAAAAAAAAAATAATAGTAATGGTAAAATGACATACTCGACAATCGAAATTATTGAGCCTTTTTCTACAGCAGTGGGCCTCTTGCTAGCAGCAGCTGCAGATTTTGTGAACACTGGACCGGTTTTTTCACCGAAAACTGGCAATTTTTCGACATTTTAATTTCTTATAGCACTACTCTTTTTCCATCGCGCATGGTGAAATGGAAGCTGCTCTGGGCCGTGTTTGAGTAACCGCAAGCGAAGAAAGCATTCACTTTACCATTCACGTACGAACACGTGA